CCATGTGCATTCTTTCTCTTTAATTGGGGCTTCTTCATGTGGGTCCATTGATAGGAGGATTGTCTTTAATTATTACCTTGCTACTCACAAAGTGGGTTTCCAGTAAATGAGCCCTCAAGACTGGACGTCCACTTTTCCAGTTTCTTTAAATCTCTTAATGATAGGTGGTTATTATAGCCTATGATCTTAATTAACAGGGAAGCTTCAGGCGTTTTTTCCACCTTAATGCAAAAATTTTGCCAACCCTCCCGCCTGTGCCATTTTAGAGCTCTTTTATAAATATTAGAAGTGACACGATAGTAATCCCAATCTTCTTTTTGTCTTGTTCTATTTCCTGGTGGCTTTTTGTAGCTTAGTCAGTTCATTAGACCACCACCTAACTTTTTTCTTTGGTTCTGTTATCAAAGGGCAGGCCTCCTCATATGCCGCCAAAATGGCAGTCTCAAGGAAGCTAGTCTGATGGTCTATCTGATTTCTTGTATAAAACCTATCCCATAAGCTTAGCCCCATGGGTTATGAGGCTTTTCCAATCTCTCTCTGTAATGCTTCCAATCAGTATTTCTTGAATTTATTTTCAGGAAAGAGTCGGACTGGACTGACTCCTTCACAAATGTGATCATCCTGTGGCCAGACAATATAATGTCTGAGGTGGCGATTCAGTCTTTCAAAAGAATGTTGATTCTGCTTGAATGTGATGTCTAAAACCTCACTTCTATTCTTTGTTACAAAAGTAGCTTCACTACCTTTGTTTAAGATCTCCAAGTCTGTTAAGACTATATATTCTAACAAGGTTTCATCTCGCTCATTAGTGTATGTATTAATGATGTGCATTTATATCCCCACCTATTAGAAGTGGTCTTTTTTTTCCAAAATTTAAAAGTCCCTATTGATGTATAGGGTCTAAATTATGAAAAATGTAAATAGATCCAGCAATCATTTTAATCTTATTAATGCCTAAATTGATGGTAAAATTCAAGACCACAGCAACTCTTTAATTCACCTAAGGGAGTGACAGTATGCGCAAATCCTTGGCGGTCCATATTCATAGCCTAGGTTTGTGTACAATTAGAGGAGGTCGGATGTTTCTTCCTTCTGTTTCCCCTAAGCCTTTAATCATTCCCCTTAAACAATAAGGATTTTTTACTATAATGAGGGTAGATTTCATTCCCGTGAGGAGCTTATCTAATTCGTCCGTAGTCAATTTATTGTATTGCATATTAATCTGTCTTACCTTAATCACAGTGGACTCCATTGCTGATAAGGGGAGGTAGGAAGTGCAGAAGCCTAATGGGGCTTGCTCCTCCTGTGAGGGGTTGCTGAATCTTGAGACTATTGGTGGCGCCTTCCAAACTGTCAAGTTCACTACCTCGTAGTTGATGCACCACTCATGAGCCTCAAATCATGTCATGGAGATGCCTGCCACCATAAACACCGCTCTCAGGTATCCTGGATCGCCCTCAGTTCCTAAGAATTGCCATCTTGAAATACCAACCAGGTCCTCGTTCTGATAATCCAAGATTCTTATGAGACTGCCGGGATCGATCGCCTCAGCTCCCAGCTCATTAACAATTCTACCGGGCCAGGGAGCTATGACAGACTGCCTCACCACAAACCTTCCTTCAGTGGGAGGTACCCAGTCCAGTAGGCAATTTCTTGTTTCTTCATTGGTACAGGTGAAGAGGAACCAACCCGGTTCCGACTGATAGCCAGAATATTTAAAAGCCAGAGGTCTCCTTCTGGGCTGTGGCTCATTTCACCTATGGTCAGTTTCGGCTATGAGGAGCCTATGTGAGAGTTGCCCCTCATCCTGTATGATAGGCTCACCATTATGACCACTTGCAATGTTCTCCCAGCTACAGCATCCCTGTAGCATTGGGTATTCCCCTGATCCAACTGAGTGCCTTGCTGTGAGGAGGGTCCAGCGACAGAGTCGATGGCCCTTCTAGGCGATTGCTTCGACCTTCCCTTGTCTTGCTGGCGGGTATCCGTAGGTGTGGACTCGTCTAGCGGCCTCTGTCTTTTCGTATATATGATGACAGGATTGTTGGCTCTTGAAGAGGACACCCGCATCTGTCTTGCTCGAGATGGGGTAAGGACAAGCCTCTTCTCCCTTTCCTGTATCAGCTTTAAGGGAGTTCTGGGGAAGTTCCTTCCTTGTATAAGTAGAGTGGAACAATCCATGGAACTCCGTGATGAATGAGGCTGCCTATGGGAAGCCGAGTTAGAGATAGGTGTTTGACGCTCCTCTCTAATGGCCACCTATTTGGCTTGCCTTTTGATTGCTTCTACTCACCTATTCTTTTTGTGGTAAAGCTTCTTCTTTAATTTAGCCTTTTGTATTTATTAGCCTCTTCTTTTAAGACATAACCTGGAGAGGACTGACTTTGCATCCTCCCTGTTCTATCTCGGTCAAAGAAGTCGTCCTAAGTAGAGTGGACTCTCTGTCAGATTCCACTCTTTGTCTTAAAGGGCTAGATGGGATCTGGTATAGCCTTACCACCCTTGATGATGATGATGCTGAAGAAATAAAAATATTTTTCATGTGCAAATTATTAAACGTTTCTTGTAATTTTCAAATCCAAATTAGTTTATTCCACTAAGCTCAATGTGCTAGTACTGGTATTCGACATCTAACTAGTCCAGAATATAGCTTTACACATAAATAATGAGATACTAAAGGAAAAGGTGAAAAAATAACAAAAATATTAGGAATATTTGAAAATTTTATATTTTATAAAAATCAGGAATGAAATGAAAGAAAAATATTTGATTGTTTAATATAAAAATATTTCTATTACACTAGCTCACATTTAAGGGTATAGCAACTTGGAAATAGTAATATCAAAATTTACAAAGCTTTTTGCAATGATACAAATATCGTAAAAAACTGGAGTATCGCCTAAAGCTTATGTAAGAATCAAATCCATCAATTTATTTTTATATATCATGCATTCTTGAGCACTCTTAGTATAATTATTTTCTTATCACACATCTGAACTTACAAAATATATGTACAAATACAGATCAATACAAGTTTTTAACTTAGCGAGTTTTAATAACAGTAATTTAATTATTATTATATTATAATTATTTATATATATTTTTTTATTTTCAATATATTTTTTCTAAAACATCAAAAGCAAATATGGCACTTTATTCGTTATTTAATGGAAAATAAAAATAATAATATAGTTTTTACTTTGGACCAAGCATACAATATGTATTTCAAGACAATAATTTTAGAAATAAAATTTTAATATTTGCAAAACCTTGAAAGGCTGGATATAAGTGGTGTTTTATTCTATCTAAATACTAAAATCTATAATCAAGCACTTAGAATAGCTATCATCTACTCATTTGATAGATATTTATATATATAACACATAAAATCACAACTACTTACTTATAATGCCAACTGTTGGACCACAATAATTGATTTTCATACAAATACGTAATATATCTGTCAGTAATATATGTGTTTTGACAGAATTTTCAAAAATAAATTTTAACTGAACCATAAACCAATCACAGTACAATAAAATGAATGGAATGTAACCTCCATCATATTGGTGAACAAGAAATTCTTAAAATTAGTTTATGGAATATATAATAGTTCTAATACTATAATTATCTTACTATGATATACCATAGGATTAAAACATCAAAAAACACAACTATAAATCATAACATGATATATTAAGTTATTTAGATAACTTAATGTTATGTTCTAGTAGTAATATAAATAAAATAAATAAAACATGGAATAAGCCAGAAATGACAGTTAATAAGAAGAACAAAAATTCAAATCTGTTATTACAAAAATTATAAATACATAAATACAGACAAAAAAATATATCACGAATGAGATTGTGCGCATTACTCATGCGTAATTAAACATAATATTATGAGTATCAACTATTTATTATCTTCATTGCAATATGATTTTATTATTAAGTTTATTTGGGGGTTTAGATAAAGGCCGTAAGTCAAAGGCCATAAGATAGTAAAGTTATTCACAATATTTAAAACTTTTAAATAAATTATACATCCAATCCATTTAACACAAGAGTAATTGACCTAAACTATATGTCCTCTAACTAAATGGAATAATTATTGACACATGGATAATGAAAAATTACCCATAAAATTGACTAGAAAAATTACAAAATTTGCCTAGAAGTTACACAAGTTTTAAACAAATTAAAATGTAATGCAATATCTGGTATATTATTGCTTTGATTAATATCACTGAGCCATTTAAATCACACATATTGATCAGGTATATATATATATATATATATATATATATCCATTTAAAACAAATGCAACAGAGATAAATATATTATAATTATTGTTTGCACTTGAGTAAAAGATTTCATTAAAACTTAGTATAAAAAAATAAAAAGAAAAAAACATGAAATCATAATTTTTACAATAAAAATTTATAATACTAACCAGGCACAAGACTTTGAAACAAAATAAATTTTAAAATAACTAGTGCTGCAATAAATTAAATCAATGTGAAAATAAAATCATTCGAAATAAAACTTCTTTTTGATTAGGAAAACAATATGAATATAAATGACAAATAAACTTTAGAAAATATAAATCCAGTGAAGTGGTACAATTATTTATTAAAACAGAAAGATATAATTAGCTACAAGTCTATTCGTTTGTTATTCATTATTATCCGTCAAAAAAGTAATACCATAAGTTTTCGCAATAGTAGAATATGTTTATTTAATTTGCAATGTTAAATGACATGCTTCAAGGAAAGACTAATTAGTAACAATAAATAATACTTTACTTAATTAATGAATAATAAATAATTTAGTTATAAGGGAACAATGTTTTTTTATTTTATAAAAGCAGTTGGTACTTAAAATCAAGTTAGCCTAGTAAAAATAAAAATTAAATTAATCTCACCTATGCCTAACAATAATTTTTTTTAATTTTTAAAACAATACTTTTTACAACATATATTTTTTAAAAACAACATCCATTTTTCAAGCACATCCAAATCATTCAAAATAAAAATACACCATTCAAATTAACTATTTCTTTGTATTAATTTTATAAATATAAATAAAATATAATCTCACAAATTACTAAAAAACATTTTGTGAATTGGCAGCATCAGTTATTAGCATTAAAATTCTAGGTGCTGTAAAACTTTAACTTTAAAATTTGTTGAATAAATTAATTCAATTAAAATATATTATAAGACCAATATAAAAAAATTAATCTCATGATATCTTAGGATCAGATATGTCTAATTCCTCTTTCCTACCTATAACAAGATATACATCCATGTTGTCCTTCCCTTTCACATAAACTGTTCCTCTTCTCTCGAAGTTGTAGCAGGCAGAGAGAACCTGTACGCATGCTGCTGACACCTGAATTCGATTAGGGACACCGGTAGTGTCCATTCGACTAGCAATATTGACAGCATCACCCCAGATATCGTAATGTAGCTTTGTTGTTCCAATGACTCCAGCCGTAACATCTCCAAAGTTGAAACCCACTCTACAAAATAGAATTTTATTTATAACCAAATAGAAACAGAAATGTCTGATTTAAGAAAACATTAGAAAAAAATGGTCTAAGATCCGATAAGGTCAAAGAATAAATAGCAGGTAAATTTTAGCTTAAATCGTTTCAAAACGCTCGGGTGATCTAACCAAATAATTTGAGCCATCAAATTTAAAAATTGTTACATAACTTTTAGCAAACAATCAAAATACATAACCCTCATATCGCTTCACTTAGTTGAATAATAATCATTACATACATAATTTAAAATCCAATTATTAGAAAAATTAATTAAAATTGACAGTGTAAAATACACTAGCACTTAAGCTACCCAAACTCACCCATTCATTAATTTTTTACTTTCACTTACTTATATATGAAATTTTGTTTTATTTGCTAGTTGAATGATGGCGACAAGAAGAGCTCCACAAAGTACTGTGATTGATTATCGAAACTTTTAAAATAAAAAATTAATTAGAAGAACTGTTCATAAAGCTAATTTAAGCAAAACTGCGAAAATATTACTACAATGAAAATTAAAGTAGAGTTTGTTAATGTTCAGATTTTTTTTATTCAAAAACTTGTGTTTGGACTGCAATATCCCAGAAACATTGATAAGAATTGATTTTGATATCTCAAAGCTAAAAATCTGGTGGGCACAACACACAACTTTCACTAACCGCTCTACTTTGGATAGAAATTACTTTCTGGCAATGTTGGACTATTATAAAAATTTTGAAGTACATTTTAAACGTAACTAAAGCTTAAAGCTTACATATAACAAATCATTAAGACCATTAAAATTATAAAAAGTCTATTTATTATATCGACGATAAGCAATAAAAATCTAGTTACTCCATCTGGTTTTATACACCACATATTTTCAGTCTCTGAGCCTTTCAGTTGAAAGAATGACTAACTCCAATTTAAAAATATTTGAGTAATGTCATTTTAGTGATATTTCTAGTTGGAAAAGTTATATTTATTCAAATAGTGAGCAAGTTGATTTCAGAGCAGCTGATTGCAGTGTTGAAATATAGAACTGTGAATAGAGGTATACATTTTTTCACTAAAGACATCACTAAAATTAAAAAGAAAGAATTTTGAAATTGGAATTAGTCATTCTGACAACCAAAAGGTTCATATATGCCTAGAGAGATTTGAAATTACATCTGAATATTTAACCTATAAATGATTATGGATAGTAGGACTTAGTTATTAAACTGTAATTTTCCATTGTAAAGTTTACTAAAATGAAATTACAAGATTTTCATTACCTGGCATGGATAGGTCAAAAGTTGTCACATTAATTGTAATTGGATAATCTTGGGATTTCACAAAGGGAAAATTCATCAAACTATTCACAAAATTTAATTTCCTAAAAGGCTACTTGATGATTTTTTGGAATAAACGGCCAATAAATACCTAATTATTTAAATATAATATCATGTCTTGAGTTATTAAACTATAGCAAAAGTATTTAAGGTTATAAACATATCCATGAAATATTTTTATATTTCACTTCTTCTTTCACACAAGAACAATGAAATAGTATTTTAAACAATGGGATTGGCTTGATTCGGTGGATTTTAAATACTTTTTTTTTAATCTTCAAAAGTTAACATTTAGTAAAATAATTTCATTGAAAACATGTGATTTACATTAAATAATGTTAGTTTTCTGAAATTATTACTTATATATTTTTCTTCACTCAGTTACCTTCTACAACTTTATTTATTTACTATCATCTTTTCTATAATTCTCTGCTATCCAATGATATATTGTACGTATACCTTCTGACTGTACACACTAATTGCAAGTGGATAATGTTGGGATTTCACAAAGGGAAAATTCATCATATTATTTCCTAATTTAATTTTTTTAAAGATTATTTGATGACTTTTTTTGGAATAAACGATCAATAGATACCTAATCATTTAAATATAATATAATATCTAGTTATTAAACTACAGTAAATGTATTTAAGGTTATAAACATATCCATGAAATATTTTTATATTTCACTTCTTCTTACACACAAGAACAATGAAATGGTATTTTAAACTATGGCATTGGCTTGATTCGAGGGAATTTTAAATACTTTTTTCACACTTCAAAATCTCTAAAGTTAATAAGAAAATTTCATTTAATTTTCTTGGAATCATGTGATTTACATTAAATAATGTTAGTTTTCAGAAATTATTATTTATAATTTTTTCATCACTCTCTATTACTTTCTACAAATTTCCGGAGATTCATTTTCAACCTGGATAAGCATTTTTATTTTTTTCTCCAGTTTCCAATTATCATATTTGTTCAAACTTTATATTTAGTCATTTTTTATAGTTACTTAAAGTAATAAAAGGGAGTTAATTTTTTTTTTAATAAACCATTTTTAATGTACTTTAGAGGAAGACATATGTGAACATAGGGCATTTAAGCTCTATAAGAATAAGACCTAAATGATATTAAAGATCACTTAATTATACAATGATGCACCGAGTTTAATCAAAGGAAAACTTTGCTGTAAGATCTCAGTCATATACCTATCCTAAATACGTAATATCAGTTTATTACGACTTTTTAATTTTGAGCTAGACTGTTCACATACACACAGACCATTTTGTGGGACTTGGCTATTTAGACTCAGGGGACCTCAAAACGTGTATTTCCGGTGAAAACTCAGATTTCGAAATGTTTATGATCGAAATACTTTCCCTTAATATATTTTACATATATAGATAAGTGAAAGTAAAAGTTGGAAAAAAATGTATATAAACTGTTTTTTCCTGCCTCCTTCATATTACTACTCAATATGACTTGATCAATGTTACAACTTGGTATGAAATAATTGGAATACAGTTCTTTAAGGTTTTTAACATTTTAGCATGATAATTTGCTAATAACGATAGTAGTACAATATTATTCATTAAAGTTCTATACAAAAATACTGTTTACTATATGAATATACATTATATTAATATACATAAGATATTTTAAGTAAAAATTAGATCGCTCTTTCTATTTAAGTAACAAATCAAATAGCACTTTCTTAGCATCTAGATTTCATTTACTTGTAACCTCCATAGTTTTCCCATCTTGAAATTTAGCAAGAACAAATTTAATGGATAAAACAAAATTATTGTTTAGAGGATGTCAAGATAATTTTCTTCATACTATCCATTAAAGTTCTATACAAAACTACTGTTGTCATGTTTTGTATATATATATATATATACATACACACAATGAAATCCACGTAATAAGCATTGAAATGATGAGTTAACTAATAACCCTCCTGTACCATCAGTTATAAATCACCGAAAACTTTTGATATCAAAATTTGGCTGTTTCCACAACTTTTAGGCTGATCGGCCACCGAAAGTGCAGTTGAGCTGAGCGTAGCAAGAGGGGGTCGGCAACCGATTGCATAGGAGAGCTGAGCTAAGTCAGCAACTTGCCTTGCATTAGTATCCTCTTCATATTTCATACAACATTTTTAAAAAATAGGAAAGTTGTTCTGTCAGAGTTGAATATTGAATATTTTCCATTACACATTCGATTACAAATTCTTCCATATCCATTGCATATTTTACACTTAAGCAAAATAAAATAATTTGAGAGGTTGTGCATTGAAAACAAGAGGAAAAAAAGGATGACACTGAGGAACAAAGCCACACGGTTGTGAGGCAGTGGTGAGTAGGTGTGGTGGGGAAGCTGAGCATAGCAGAGTCAGCTTCCAAAACCGAATCACGGTCGACCCAAAGCTGAGCAGAGCTGACCCTTGCTATGCTGCTCAACTGTGCTCAGCTCAGCTCAGCTACTGGTGGCCGGCCTGCCATTAAAAACCTTTGGTTCAGTTTAGGAAGCTGACTCAGTTCAGCTCCGTTACACTTTCGGTGAGGGGACGGCCTTACAGGATTAAATTAAAAACTACTCATGAAAAAATATTTAAAAATAATTTTATTGTATTTAGTGGAAATAACTACTAATATATGAATAATCAAGTAAATCAAAAACATCTAAACAGAAAATTAAATTTTTATTGGGATATTTGATATGGAATGACCCCATTATTGTCCGAATGCTTCATAGCTTTTCTTGATAACTTAAGAGTAATTAAATCTGTATCATTATTCATATTTGTAATTAGAAGTTAAAATGTTAACCTATTTTTAATTTTTTTTTTTTTCGATTACTATTGGTAATATTTTAATATTTATTATTTGCCAGTATACATAATGAGAGAAGAGATGGTGGTCAAAGAGAACTTTAAATAGTGACAACTATTTATTGTAACGAACGATTGAACCCACTTGTATTCATCATGGATTGGTGACACTTGGTAGGAATTGAGTACTCATTTCTATTCTCATTATTTTAATATTTATGAGGTTAACTGTTAAATCACCACATAAAACATATAATAAAATAATAGAATGGAGCATGTTGTCATACCTGATAAGGTACTATTTACATGAACAATATGTATGATCACCAGGAAAAAAAATCCACATTAAGAAAAAAAGAAGCAATATTTTAAAAAGCAAAACAAATCATAATGATTAATTCAATCAAAAGAAAAAAAAAATCAGTTAAAAATCTATAATTCTGCACTTTGTAATTAAAATAAAAATCATCTGGATGGCATGTTAGTCAATATTCTGAGAAATAAAACAAATCAAAACTCTGGCAACCCAAATAATACAAATACATACCATTTAAATGAATACTGGCATTAACAATAATCTGAAAATACAGAAATTAATAATTTACCAGTACTTAAATTATACAATATCATAATTAACAATATCATTTAATGGCATTAGCTTCAAAAGTTGTTTTAGTTTGGTTTGTCTTACTATAGAATTGCATGCAAAATAGAAAAGAAAAAAAGAAGGATTTTTTAGAGATGGGTAAGTAGTCAGTCAATCGATGAATTATAAGGATAAAACAAAATTGTCAGGAATTTCAGTCAAAATTTCTTTAATGGCTTAGCCGACGTTTTGACCTAAACATTTGGGTCATCATCAAGGCTTAGTTCTTGTATATACATAATCAAATGAAAGGACAGTATGTAATGAAGAAATCTACCTCAGATTTGGGTTGAAATGTCGGCTAACCCATTAAAGAAATTTTGATTAAAATTCATGACAACTTTGTTTCATCCTTATAATTCATCAGTCGATTGAGTATCCATCTCTAAAGAATTAAAATATTGGGATGTACTTAAAATATCAGAAATATGAGTTCTCTTTTCTCAGACCGCAACACCGCTCTTCAAAATCACTGGACTCAGAAGTTAGCTTGATCTATCTCTACTTCACTACACACACTTTGCCGATCCATCTCAGCACATAAGAGTTTCTCCACAACACTCTGTTTTTTCTTCTTAGCCGCAGGTTTCTTCATTACATTCTGTCCCCTCATGTATATACAACAACTGAGCCCTGATGATGACCCACATATTTGGGTTAATATGTCCGCTAATCCATTAAAGAAATTTTGATTGAAATTCCTGACATTTTTGTTTGTTTCATCTTTAGTAATAATAAAAGTTAATTCAATTTTTAAGTTCATTTTGTTTTTATTCTCTATACCATATATAATTTTCAATTTATGTTGTGAATAATATAATGAGGTGACTACAATTCAGACGAATATAGATAAATACAAATTAATATTTTTCATGATTAGAGAAAAATTCGAGGATTTGAGTAACTACCACCTAAGTTTTATGTAATCAGAACTTTCTATTCTGAAGTGTTGAACAATTAGATATGTCAATTTGTCTAGTTAGAGAATGGTTTTTTTTCATTGGAAATATAAAAAAAAAAAAAAGGAACAATATTTCTTAAAAGGAATTTTTGAACCTAGAAATATTATTCTAAGCTAAAAAGTCATCGGTAAGAATTAAGTAAGTATGAACAGCCCAAGACATATCTAAGGATCCACACTTATGACGCAGGTCTGTGCCCACCAATTTTCTTAAACGCTAAATAATTTTGTAATGATACATTACAAAAAATTGGGACTTTTACCAATTTTATTGTTACAACCTATCTTCACTAATGTACCCAATTAAACATAAAATTCAGGATGAAGCCTCAAAATGGAAAAATTATTTTTCTTTCATTGGTCCACATGTTACTGTCAATGATCGAACCTAAATACTCAAACAATAACAATATCGACAGCCAAATTGAAAAATCATGTATATTGGCAGATCTGTTTTATGATCTGATTTGTATGCATCAGTCTCCTAAGAGGTGGAAAAGAAGAGAAGATGAAAATAGAAAAGTTCCAAGAAATTGTAAGGAATGGGAGAGAGAGAAAAAAAAGAAGAGACAGATTAAAAATCCCGAAGAGCCTGATTATTGATGTTGATATTATGTAAACTGTAAATAATTTTTATTTTAACATTTCAATAATAACTTTTAAAAAAAATCAAATACTGTAGAAACGAATAAAAATTGTTTTTATTTGTTTATTTAGCCTCTGCCCCTAAGGGTCATTCGCTTAATGTTTCCATTTTATATTCTTTGATAAAAATCAATATCTTTTAAATATTTTTCCTATTTCTTTTTCCTCATCTTGCAGTATTTCTTTCATTCCCATTTGTAGATTTTCTCTTATATTAGAGTGCTTTTTACATTCTAATAATATATGCTTCGCTGTTCTGGGTACTTCGCAATGTGTGCAAGTCGGGGCTTCTAATCCTCGCAGGAGGTATCCATGGGAAAACTCACAGTGTCCGATTCTTAGGCGACATAGCATCACTTCTTCTCGTTTAGACTTTTGGTTTGCTGTGTTTCATTTTATATAATTTTTTTTATTTCTTGAAGTTTTGTCGAACTCATTTCCCAATCACTGTTCCATTTATTTTGAAAGAAAAAGCAACTTGCCTTATGTTCATATTGAATGCTAACATTGTTTGAAATAAATTTTGCATGAAACCGTTATTGTTGAAACTGTTTGCGGATCAAATATGATGTCTCTTAAGGGGTGTCATGGAAGTTACAGTATTTTGGCCCTATATTTTGCAATCATAAACGCTCTTCTTATCACGAGGGATGGTTCTGCATATAGGCTCTCTATCGGCGATGTTCCATAAAAGCTCCTCAACATATCCTTAATGCAGCATTATGGATTGGGTCAAGAATTTTTAAAATACTTCTTTTTGAGGTTCCATATGCACATGCTCCATAATCTATTTTGCTTCGGATCATTGCTTTGTATATCTTTAATAGACTGCTTCTATCAGCTACTCAACTAGAATCTGAAAGACACTTTAGGAGGCTTAATCTTTTCAAACATCATTGTTAAAATCCTTTAATGTGGTCAGTCCACTTTAAGCCTTTATCTAGGTGGATACCAAGGTATTTTTGGTGATCTTCAAACAAGATGTCGGCCATCCCTAATTTTATTTTAGGATTCGTAGAGCATCCTCTTATTTTGCTTATATGCATGGCCTTTGCTTTATTAATCAAAAAAATAAAACCACTATTTTCTACCTATTTTTCTGCTTTTCTCAATGCTTTCTAGAGTTTCCACTCAATAAAATAAAGAGATTTACTAAGAACTAATAGTAATAAACCAACGGCAAAAATTATTTATGATTTTAATAGGCCATTTGAAATTCGGTGATAGATCATTCATAGCAATCAAAAACAAGGTTATACTTAAAGGTAAATCTTGAGGCGTGCCATTTTGAGAAATGTGGATTGACAACAAAGAGGACCCTACTCTGACTTGAAATTTTCTTTCTTTAAGAAAGTTTTCAATGTATGCCTTCAATTTTCCATAGAAACCACAATTATTATTTAAGATTTGCATTACATGACCTCTTGTCATGGTATCGTAAGCCTTTTCTAAGTCTAAGAAGATAGAAACCAAGTGTTCTTTTTGTAAGAATGCTTATTCTGCTTCATGTTGCAGTAACGAAATCGCATTAGTTGTGGAACGTCCTACTCTGAAACCGAATTGATGAGGAGTAAATAGCTTGTTTCGTTTCATGTAATCAAAACGTCTATTGTTTACCATTTTTTCCTGTAATTTAGGGAAGCACGATGGTAATGAAATAAGACAAGTCACTTGGTTTGGAATATCTTTTTTGGGACTAGAGTGATTATTGAGGTTTTCCATAGCATCCCATATCTCGTATATTTGAAGTATGATCTACCTTTATGTGGTAAGTGTTTTGTCATTTCGTAGGAAATTTCACTTAAACTTGTTGCTGATTTTCCATGACATTTTTAAATTAACATTTCCATTTATTTAAATCTGAAAGGTTTATCATAGCAAACATTAGAACTTGGTACTTGCAGCCTTGGTATTACTTCTTGGTTTGCAATGTTCGTTGGTTCCTTATTGCTGAGGTAGATAACCGATGATTTACAAAATTGTTGTGCCAATTATTCGGCTATCTCTGAAGGGGACTGGTTATTATATTCCCTGCTATTTCTATCCCTGATATTATTTTTTTGTTGTAAATTTCGAGAATAGATCTAATTCTGTTTCATACTTCTATAACTGGTGTTTCGCAGATAATAGAGGAAACAAATTCTTTCCACAATGCCTTCTTACTATCTTTAATAATTCTATTTGCAATTGCCCTAAGTCTCTTAAATTCAACTGCATCATTTAGACTCCTACTTCTTTTGAACCTGTCGAATGCCCGCTTTTTTTGCTCTCACTGCTTCCTGAACATCTTTCGTCCCACCATGGAACTCTTTTTTTAAGACTATTACTTGTGATTGGAATTTTTTTGGAAAGCAGCTTGCAGAATAATATTATTCAAATTCGCTACATGAAGATCTATGTTATTAGCTATCCTTTCTAGATTATCCGTGCTTAATATAATTGATTTCTGAAAATATTTCCAATCATTGCCTCATACTTCCAGTGTTGCTTTATATTCTCTGGAGACGGCCCTTTAACCCGAATAATGATGGGGAAATGGTTGATTCCATATAAGTGGGTTTTAGTTCTGCATATGCATTTAGGGGCCAATCTGACATCAGCGATGCTTAAGTCAATGGCAGAGAGACTATTACTTCCTGAGTCAAAGTGGGTAAATGAACCGATATTAAGAAGAGTAGCAGTGCTGCTAAACTCTAAAAATTTAATAATGAAATGAAATGAAATGAAATGAAATGAAATGAAATGAAATGAAAAAAATGTTTTATTATTCTGGGACTGTTGTCCCTTAAGAACAAAATATGAATACAGATTATATGTCTGTGTGGCTACAATTGAATTGTATATTTACAATGAAAGTTGACTTACGATAAAAATACAGAAAAGAGAAAAAAAAGAACAAGTAAATTGTACATATGTATGATAAACTAAAATAACCTTAATAAATTGAGGTACTCTCTGGTGGTGCTCAGATATTTCTCTGAGATATATTTCACATTCATTCGGATTGAGAAAGGAGTAGGTGCTTAAAGAGGAGTGGTTTAAACGAGGAAACTGATTGAGCGTGTCGAATATCAGGTGGGATGGAATTCCAGAGGGAGGCGGCTTGTATTGCAAAGGATTTGTCAAACGCAGCAGTTCGGTGAGGAGGAGGATAGAGGTCGGAAGTACGAGATCTGGTGGGACGGGATTGGATGGAATATTTGAATTGAATTGAATTGAATAATGCTGTGTCCTCTATGCCCAATGACCAGACACACCGGTAATGGAGAGCACCAAAGTAAACTATTTGCATTAAAATCCTCCAGGAGAAGATACGGTCTTCTCCATAGAAAATATTTCTCCATAGCTGAGTCGTCGAACGAAGGACCAATTGGACGCTTTAGGGAAGAACTATTTGGCCACTGGGAGTTTATCAAAATTTATATATTTTCAACTATTATTAAGTAATCAGAATAAACAATATGTGAAACATATTGAAGCTATTATAGCTATAATATTTAAAAAATAAATTAAATAAAGATACCTTAAAATAAGATTAAATTCTAACAAATGAGCATTGAAATTCTTTATTGCTGCTTGTAATGCAAATGCAAATTCCATCAACTGAAAAAGGTGTTCGTTACTGTCGCTCCTTCTTTGGGAAGGATTCAATCCTGATGCTGCCATGAATGTTGATCCTATTGTTTTTATTTTTTCCACCATATTAAATCTTGGCTGACTTAGAAGCTCATCAAAATCACTGACCTAAAAAAAAAAATACAATAATAATATTTATTTAAAGACAATTTGATTAGTAACACAACTTAAATTAATTTATAAATGAAATATGGTGAAATTATAAAATAGCATATTTTTTATTCAGCTCCATTATCCTAAAAAAATATCAATAACTCTTTTAGATGAAAAATACTCATAACAAGGAATCTATGGAGTAAATATTTAAAGCTTTTCAAATTATTTTGTTCCTTTTAGTCAGTCATAATGTTGAGTAACCAAACTGAATATTCAACCATAATAAGATTAAATAATCAACAATATTTTAACACGTTGACTGCCAAATTTTTTTTTTTTAACGGCTCGACAGGTGCCTGAAGTTGCCCTTGGCCCTCTCAACTGCCCTTTCCGAATCATTTTGGTCAGCACCATGTCTGCTGGATACTCCCACCATCATCAAGTCCTCAGCCACAGGTCTGGCTCCATCCGGGGTTCCATAATATAATTTCCTCACGGCTCTACCTTCATCCATTCTGATAATATGTCTTAGTCATTTTAAGCATTGAATTCGCACGAAACGAGAAACTTGGAGATCGTCGAATAAGTCATAGATCTCTTTGTTCTTCCTTAAACGCCATGTACCATTCTCTCTAACTGGCCTCATGATGCGCCTCAACACTTTTCTTTCAAAACTGTCAATCTTTTCAGCCAGGCTTTTGTGTAGGATCCAGGTTGCACTGGCATAGGTCAGTATAGGTCGAATGATTGTTTTGTATATAATAATTTTGGTAACCCTACTTAGCAGTTTACTCCGGAGGAAACTTCTTAGGGCGAAATATGCTTTGTTAGCCGATTTTTAATTTCTTCTTCTTCGTCAACCTGATCATTAACGATGGAGCTGAGGTACTTAAAACTGGACACGCATTGAAACGCATTTTGTCCCATTACATAATGATTAGGCGGATTTATAGGTGTTTTCTTCCTGAGCACCATAATTTTTGTTTTTTCCTCATTAATGGATAGCCCCATTCTTCCAGCTTCCCTTTGAAATCTTTCACAGGCCTCCTTGATTGCCTTGAGGGACAGTCCAATCAGCACCATATCATCAGCATATCCAAGCACTTGAGTCATTTTACTAAAAATGGTGCCTGACTGACTAAGCTCTGCTCTATTCACCACAACTTGGAGAGCGATGTTAAATAGAAGTGGAGAAAGGGGGTCACCCTGTCTAACTCCTGACTTCACGGCGAAAGGTTGGCCCAGCTTCCCATTTATTTTCACTCAACTCGCGCTCTCATTCAAAGTGCACGATACAAGTCGGATTAGCTTCGGTGGAATTCCCATCTCTTCCATTGCCAGGTAGAGCTCTTTCCTGATAATGAAATCATATGCAGCTTTAAAATAAATGAAAAGAATCCATATAATCTTGTTGAATTCTTTTGTTTTCTCCATTATTTGTCTTAAAGAGAATATCTGGTCAATAGTTGACCTATTCCTCCTGAAACTCCCCTGGTAATCGCCCAACCAAGGTTTCACAAAATCCACAATTCGATTATATAAAATAACAGAAAATATTTTGTAAGCAGTATTCAGGAGGCTAATTCCCCGCTAATTATTACAGTCTGTGGAATCACCTTTCTTCTTGAGTAAGGGAATGATGACAGATTCCTTCCAGCTATCTGGCATTTTTTCAGTTTCCCAGTTATTAACTATCAGATGAGTCAACTCCTCAGCCAGTTCTGACCCACCAATCTTCAAAAACTCAGCTGGTGTGCCACCTGAACTGGAAGCCTTGTTATTCTTGAAATTGTCAACAATCAAGCCAACCTCCTATAAATCTGGTGGGCTCACTTCATAGTCATTCTCAGTGTCTCGAAAATCCTTATCAGGATACTTGTCATCTTCCCTAGGGTTTAGGAATTCCTGAAAATGTTCCATCCATCTGCCTTGCACATCTTGATCCTGGACCACCATTTTCCCATCAGAACGCTTTAACATCGAGCAGTTATTTATAAAACCTGATTTTTTGACTGCTAACTATGATACCAATTATGAGTCATATCGTGTTAATGCATGAATTAACTCACAGCTGGCTTATGAAAATATCCTTTTGTGACATAAGCGTACTACAAGATAGTTTTATTTTAAGCCTTTCAACGATTATTAAATACTACAATTAGAGTTTATAACCTAATATAATACAGTAGGGGAGGGTCCTTATTTTTTGATAATATACTTTCTGATTGTACACATCCTATTATTTTTCCTATTGATGTAAGAAAAAATAGAAACCACTTTTGTTAGAATTGAATGTCAGGTACTCGTGGGTTGTCTGTGCTTGTCAGTTCTGAAAAGCAAAGCCCTGCAAGCGTTGATCTGCCAGCAGTCAAGTCTAGTCCTCAGTTTATCTCAAGTCAGTGTCTATCTACAATGTGTAAGTCAAAATTTCCTATAATTCGAAAAGTAGATACAAATATATTTAATAGGCTGTTGGATTCATTAAATCACAGAGAGCAAATTAACACTGAGTGATAGTAATAGTTTGGGAATGTTTAATTTTTTTGGAAAAGAAAAAAAACTCTACCAAGACTACCTCACATTGCGTTCAAAAAATAATGAAATTATATTCAGATTCGGGTGCTCTTAAAAATTAAATTGGCTTCTTATACCAGAATCTTGTAAAGTACCATGTCAGTCAACATGCTTAAACCAGAAAAAGATAAAAAAAAGGTAAGGAAAATTATGATAATAATTCATCACTTTAAAATTAAAACAATTGATTAAAATATATACATAAATACATATGTAATATATACATAAATACAAATACACATATGTATATACATCCATATATTACCAATTCATTTAATACTCTAAGGCATTCTCTTCCTTCCATGAATGATTCATCATAAAGTTCACTGAAATTGACAATGCTGGCAAATAATATTCCTGCATCTTTCACATCTTCAGAATACCTAAAATATAAAACAAAAATATGATGGAAAGAAAGACAAATGATAATAATAACGTATAATACAGTGATTTTTATTTCTTAATACTAACAACTAAAATTTATGTTGATATTCCTTAAATAATAACATTTCTTGATAATTAAATCAGATTTAACGTTTTTTGTAAATTTCATTAAGAGATTCTTGTCATTAACTTTATTTATTAAACTCTTAAAACCCACGGACTTATGGGTTTCTGCAGTTTCTTGACTAACGGGTGTGCAATGAGCAGTAGACAAGAATCATGCTCAACCACCAGGTCTTTCACAAACGTGCCTATTTTATAGAGGCTAGGTATAACCCAAAGAGGGTTTCCAATAGAGACCCTAGGGTCAAACCCATGGCTGATATAACAGAATAAATAATTACCTACTACAAATGGATTGAACTTGGGTCAAAGAGGTAAGAGTTTTAGACTTTTCCCACAGAAATGCAAACTGTCTTAATGCTGAAATTTCAACAATAGCCTCAACAGAGAAAATATCTCATATATAAGAATTTGTATTCCAAGTGTTTATTTTAAGATGAAACTGAATCTGAATGTAATGTAAAAATAACTCATAGTTTGATTCCATTTGATTCTTTCAACATTTCAATAACTAAGAACAGTAACACAATATAAACCAAAAAAGATTTATAGGTAATTTTTCCAAAAAAATAATAATAGAAATATATTTACCAGGTGTATAAATATGAAACTGGAATTTTCGTATACAAAATATATGTTTAAAATATATATATATATATATATATTATATATATATATATATATATATATATATATATATATATATATATATATATATATTTAAATATACTTTCCCATATCTCTTCTTCTTCCGTTTTTTTCTTTTCCAACTTCCAAATCACCAATTTCGAATCTTTCAAGTTACTCAAAGCATATGTAATTTACCAAGAGCATACTCACTGTAAGGTTCTACAAGTTTTTGATGCAATTCCGCAACAGTTTTTTTTTTTCTAATGATATCAGAAAACTAATGCTGTCTACAAATCATAGTTTGTAGGCACAAAACTCAACATTATTAAAGCAATGCTGTTCTATAAAACTTGTATCATTGTGAGTTGCAAAAGCTTGGCCAGCTATCGAAGAAACAAAATGGTGCCAATAATGCGGTTTAACGGTAACTGTATTAAAAACTGAATACATCTATGGATGAATTTGTTTCATATTTACACACTCATATTTCTCTATAAGTTTGTATTATATTACTGAAATAACATCCATCACCTGCTTAGATTGTACAAAAAAGTAATTTTCCAAATTCGAAAACATTGTCTTTCTGTCTCCCAAAAAAATAATTTTTCACGATAAAAGCTTTTATGGTCTCTTGATTATATATTCTGATCACAATTGCAATGCTTTTATACAATTTCATGGAATTAATTTAATTAATTTCAATGGAATAGTTCTATTGTTTTTTGTTGCTATTTTAAGCGCACTAATGGTACTGGAAACGACAGCTGTAATTTATTTTCTCCAGCACGAAAAATACAAGCATAATATTCGATTTTAAATGGATTAAAGTTTTCTGGACACCTTAAAAAGCTCATTTGCATAACAATAATTAGGCCTAAAAGAATAATCTTACTGATTATTGGGCTCAACAAATCTGTAATTTTTCTAATGTCTCTATATAAGATTATCAATGATGATTATTATAATACTGATAAAATTAGTCAAATATTGTTCAAAAAGTAGTCTATCCTCCATGGAGTCATGAAAATACTTAGGGCATTACAAAAAAAAAAATAAAATGATTTATTAATTAATAATACCTAACATTTAATTGCTAAATGTCACATATATTTACACCAAATATTTATATGACACATTTATTATTGTATAATAAATTACAGTACAAATTATTTGGAAAACAAAATATTTTTTACAGTACTTTTGTCCTGCAATTTAGTATGAGAATTCACTATAATATTGAATACATCATAAAAATACGAACCCTTTAGTTGTACTTTTAAGATGATCAGCAACATAACTGGGTATAATGTTATTTAGAAGCCAATCTGACAAATCCTTCATTTCTGCCACTTTTTTCTGATCATTAGCTGCGACCTCATTTCCATGAAAACTCAAGCGGTAACTTATCTCGAATTCACGATTCAGAAACCACACAAGTAAAATCAACAAAAAAATATCAAGATATATTTCAATCAGAAATGCTTCTGAGTACAACAAATTATTATTTTCATGGATATTAGTCATATTAATATATTTTACAGTTGAATTTCTAACTAAGCCTAAAAAACGTTTATTTCTGCCAGGATCACTATCGTTATATGGAAAAGGAAGAAATTCTTCATTGTCACTAAGGTAATCAAAGTCTGAGAGGGCAGTTGCATCATCAAATCTTTTCTCTCTTGAATTAAAGGTTGGATTATTAATCTGGGGAGGAATGAACTCGGACTTGGAGCTCAGTAAAAAGTCTGAATTATTTTGCATTTCAGATAAAATTGATAGGTTTTTTGAATCTAAGATTGAAGGATTTTGTAAAATAGTAATAGTAATAAGCATTAGATATATAACTGAGCCAATAGTTGCAAGGAAGCTTTTCATCCAGCAGTTCAACTGAGTAAAATTGCAATAATGAATTATTGCTATAAAAAGTAAGTAAGTGTAATTGAAAATAGATTCAGCTGAATCTATAGACTGGGGAAAATTAGTTATCAGCGCTATTAAAGGCAAAGAAACCAAGGCACCGCCAATAAAATGCCATCTGTACCAATACATACAGTGATGAAGACATTTAAAAAGCGGTTTGATAGCAGAGCGGATACATAAAAAGATAATAAATAATTGAATAAGTAAAAGAACAGATAGTACTGATATCCAAGAAACGCTAAATGGGAAAAATAAGAGTAATGAAAGAGCAACTGATGAAAATACCTGAAACAGAAAAGAAAAACTTATTAAAAATTAAATCATTGTACAAAATTAATCTTAATAGCTAATTATCAAGATAAATTCTGCTCTCTATAAATTTATTTTTTCCTAATTGGAAGGTTAAAAAAAAATGTGTGCATAGCCAGTCAGTTTAGTTTGTCATAGCTTCATCATTTGGCTCTTGGCCCATTTCTCTTAACTTTTTGGCCCCCAATTTAGCCATATTGAATTCTTGTTAGTCTTGCGATGAAAACAAAAATTTTGTTCTATAAATGACATGGTAAAATGAACTTTCTAAGAGAAAAACCAATGAGATAATTATTGTAGTATTCTTCGAGTTTGAGTGATTTACTGTATTTCATATTTTTACTTTCAGTTATGTATATATGTAATATATAGTAAGGGTAATTATTGCGATCGTAAACAGTTTTGAATCTGAGTTTTAAACAGAAATAGACGTTTTGGGGTACCCTGAGTCCAAATAACTAAGTCTTGAAAAATGGTCTGTGTGTCTGTATGTTATTGGTCTAGCTCAAAAACAAAAAGTTGTAAGAAACTGATATTACACATTTAAGATAGATATATACCTTAGATAGGTATCGTTGTATAATTACGTGTTCTTTAATATCATTTACTTCTTATCCCTGTTGATGTCACCTTACAGGGCTTAAATGTCTAATGATCAAATGCGTCTTCCTCTAAAGTAACATTAATATGGTTTATTTTAAATAATTAACTATCTCTCATTATTAAGAGTAACAAAAAAAATGCTAAATATAACTTTTAAAATAATTAGATAATTGAATAAAGGAGAAAAATAAATAAAAATGCTTATCCGGGTCGAAAATGAATCTCCGGAAGTACTAGTCAGAAGGTATACGTATAATATATCGTTGGAAAGCGGAGAATTTTAGAAAAAAACAATATCTAATATAGAAAGTTGTAGAAGGTAACGGAGAGTGGCAAAAGATTATAAATAATAATTGTCGGTTTATGGTTGGCTGTAGTGGATAATGAAGAGAAGGATGGTTGGGGTGATCAGTCAGAAATAAAAAGGCAAAAATAAATAATAATATTTATTTTAACATTAGCCGACGTTTGACCCTGAGGTTCAGGGCTTAATTAGGGCTGTTCCAAGAGATTGTTGGAGTAGAGTGACTCCACTAGTGAACATTCTTTGTACCAGTTGGTGTGGTGCATAACAATGATACTATAACATTCATACACTATTTCACAACTTGTCTCAACTTTTGGGCAAATTAATGAGTGATTTTTAAAACATAATAAAATATATGCATATCCCTTGCCCACATCCATAACATCATTGCAACAAAACATCTCTAATCTCTAATCTCATTTAGACACTAATTATTTCTCCATCTCCGTAACAATAAATCTCGAGAATACATTTAAGAATAATGTCTTGTGATATTAGTGGTACCTATCAATTATTTTACTATGATAATTTAAATCGCTTACAAGCACAAACTAGTAAATATACAGACTTAATTTACCTATAATTCAATATTTTTATTTATTACTTTCTTTTAATAAGTTTATAATTTTCTTATTCTATAATTTTGTAATTATTGTTATAAGCCATACAAATGACACTGTAATATCCACATTATTCTTAGGGGACTTAGTGTCCCACAATAAAATACACTTTCTTTCTTTTAAGTAGGGAATATATTTTGATAAATATGATATTAGATCATTTTTTTCACAAATATCCAACTTTGGGCCAAATTTAATGAACGATTTTTGAAATACAGATATATCATTTAAAATATGTTTGTACGCCCTAATAATTAAACAAAGTAGTGGATGGAATAAAATAAATTCCAAAAAATTAATGGGACCATAAAGGTACTATAACACTATGTACTATATTTTCGATGTCATGTACACTCACATGATCCTGCTCATTGTCTTTGTGGATTCTGATTCTGAAAACTAATCAGGCCCTATTTTTCCTTTAGTGAATAATCAAATACTTTGATTAATTATATCAATCGACTTTTGATTATTACTAGCAGTGCACGACAGTTAACGATTTAAATAAGCCAAATTAAAGTTACTTTAGTGGATAGAAGCCATTTTGAAAATTCAACTTTTAAGCAATGTCACTATTTAAACTATATTAATACCAACCTGATATTAAAGACCATTTAAATTTTACATTGATAGAACAAGTTTGATAAAAAATCATTAGAGCTGTTTTTTAGTAAATTGTAAAATATGAACAATATCAATGATAAATTCTAATAAGTGAATTACTTTCAATAATAATATATAAGTCAAAACTGCTCCAACATCCTACATATACATATAAGTAAAATATGTAATTTGAATTTCATAAAAATTTTGATTTTTTAGGGAGACTGGTTTACATATAATCATATCACACCCCACTCACACATACACACACACACACATATCAACAGACTATTTTTTGAGGTCTGGTTATTTGAACCAAGGGGACCTCAAAACGTGTATTTCGATTGAAGAATCAGATTTCTTGATGATTATAATACTTTTCATTACTATTTATTTCATAGATGATGAGTAATAATAAAAATGAATTTAAATATTTGTAATGAATTAGGAAATCCACCATTTTGGCACAAAATGGAATTTGTAATACTATATTGAAAAAAAATTATACTCACAATTAAAGATATCGTAATATCAAAATAGGTGTTGAATCGAGCAGTTGCTAATGTCTTTGATCTAGCAACTCCTCCAGATGTCGTTCTGTGAGCATTCCTTCGATACTGCCTTTCCAATTCAGGATCTTTAAAAAGGAGAGTCCACCGTCTAAGGGGAGGAGAAACAAAATAACTACTTTCAGACTGGCTATTCACCTGAAAAATTTAACCAATAAAATTTTGAACTAACTTTATATATAAAAATAAATAAATATTTAATACACAGACATTTTTAGCATTTTCTATTTTTAAAAATTAATCTTTATAATAACCAAATCAAAAATAAATAAGAGCAGAAATAAATAAGGACCGTTCTAGAGGTACAACCAAACCTATTCTAACCAAAGAGGGAAGATCGAGATGGGGTCTGTGGGTCTGCCACAACATAAATTGTAACCCATCCTGGATTCAAACTGGCATCGTTAGAATCGAGAATATTGAAGTTTACACTTTAACATACTCAACATACTCAGCCATCACAATCTCCAGAAATAAATATCTGTTAAGCAATTCATATCTTAATGATCTTTATCAGATTTACTGCGACAGCACTGTTCTAAGTTGAAGTATAAATACATGTAATTACCCAAATCTTTTAGGCATCAACTGATGTAAGATTTGCAAACATTGACTGTGACCACAATTTTGTCAAAGCTGGTCCTAGCGGATCAATCTAAGTACAATGAGCCTGTCAGTGTAGGTGTATATATATATATATATATATATAACAATTATCGCCTGATTTCCAATCAGTGGATACTGACTGAATTATGAAATCATAACAATCACCTGTATAAGATAATTATAATACATTATTTTATTAATAAAATTATATTAACGCACCTGAACACATTTAATTAACTGGAGATCAGATTGCTTCCTTAGTTTTTGAAAACAAGCCCCAAAAGAATCACCCAGAGGACTAGGTAGCTTAGGTCCATTTCCTACATCATAATTGAAAAATAAAAATTAAAATATTTAAACATAGAAATTCAGAATAAAATATAAGTGCGACTTAAGGAAAATAAGAATAAGAAAATGAAAAAAAAAAAACCAAACAATTTATAAACAAAAACTTATAAAGAATATATATGAATACTGAAATAAATAACAAAATTAAAACATGAATCTGTATAGAGTAGCAAATTTTAACGTATTAAGACTGTGGTTAAAGCATGAAAATTTGATGGAGGAATGTCACATTTGGCTTTTCGACATAAAGCAAAGAACATTCAACTGAATTTATTGTCTCACACAACTCTAAGCTGTCTAGATGAAAAATCTTGTCAGTGAGTGGCCAAAGAGTTAGAAAAAAGAAAAATAAATTAATCAGAATATATTACAGGAAAGAAAAAAATAGAATATATTACCTTTTTCAAGTTCATTGAGGGAGAACTGACTCGATGTATAGTAACCGCTTACTCTATGATTCATGAGCTCATTTGTAGTCAGACCATTCATAGAAAATAACTGTAATACAATTTAAAGAATTTTTTTACTTAATTTTAAAAACATATAGTTTTATATATAACATATTATAATTTCAAAGTTAAATATATAGATCCTCGGAAATCACAATGCCATAAACAGCTTTTATTTAAAAGAGAAATGAATTATAAGCCAATTCATAACAAAATATTAGGTCTGATTCACAAGAATTTGTTACTTTATTTAAGGAAAAGAAAAATTGTTTCTGCAGAATCACTATTGTTAATAAAACGAAAATATCAAAAAATGACTTATTAAATAAACAACCATAAACAGATATTCCATGTAAATGAAGAACAGAGAGGGCAATTACTAATTTAACCTTATAAAGTGATGATTTTACCTCATTCAAGAAATACGACAATGAAAATAAAAGTACACTAATTCTTAGTAAAATAAAATGAACCTGTTGCTGGATACTACTCCGTCTGCTGTTGCTTCTAATTCCAGAGTCCTTCCGGCTATTCAGTGACTGGCTAAAACTAAGGTCATCTTTAGGAACATCTAAATGTACAGGTATCTGTGGAAATAAAGTGCAATTTAAAAAAAAAAAAAATAACTATTATTTTTAAATAATTAGAAATTTTTATAAAAACATAGAACTCGCTGATCAAAATTTATCATCTAAGATAATAAGATTAAATAATAAAATTAGTGAACCTGAAGGTTCGAAACCAGTTCCATTTATATTTTATAATTTAAATCCAATTATATTTTAGCATTTGTCTAATACCATATTTCATACATTTCATGAGATACAAATACGTTAATTATATTTATTAGGTGCAGTTAACAGAATTTAGAATTGCATAGCTATTTAAATTATCCCATTTGCCCTAAATACCTTTAATATAAGTCAAGCAAACATCAACCACCTCCACATTCATCACTCACCTGAACCACTCCTAATCGTTAATGAGAATCTTGCAAAAAGTTAATAAAATAATATCTAAAATGAAGAATGCACAAACAATTGTAGACAGCCAACAGAAAATAATGGTGAACATATTCGTTTACAGGTTAGAATTAGAAAACTAGTTATTATGTGTAAACTATCAGAATTTTTAAGTTAAATATAACATTATAAAGAACACTTTGCATGGAAATCATCTATAACTAAATTTTAAAATTACCTTTAGTGGAGAAGGTGGCGATCGCTTCGGCGAAGAACCAAAAGGGAGTTCAGATTTCCCATTTCCCAATTCTGAAACAAAAGAAATAAAAAGGGAACATTACTAAAGGTAATATAAATTAAATATAATAATGTTGAAGGAAATGAAAGCTTACTATAAGGAAACTACATAAGAAGGTGTAACCAATGAGAGAAGAAAAAGTAGATAATTAAATATTTTAACTAAATTACAATGGAAATAGTAACAATGAGGACATCATAGAAAAGCTGATTTACTTAACTACAATTTTGAACTTTCGGACATTTTCAGACAACTTTAAAGATGAGATCTCCCTCCCTCCTTCTTGCAGCAAATCTTTTAAATTTTACTTTAAAACCAACGTCCAGAAATTTATTCAGATTTTTTAATTGCATAAAGTTATGATAATTTTGAATAATATTTCATTTGTGATTAAAAGACAAGATACATTTTTTTTAGTCAGATAAAGTTTTAACTTACTAATGTCCAACTCTGATTTAAAGAATTAAAAAAAAAAAATGTTCATCAATGGTGGTCAAATCTATAATGAAGCATGATTTTCATTCAAACAGATCCACTATAACAATTATTCTTAAACCTGTAACTTAATTTAAATTCTAGATATTATCACCTATTATGCAGTTCATGATTATTAAATAAATAATATTACCTGTGTTTAAATAAAGTTAAGCGTTTATAAATAATTGAAAGTTCAAAGGTAACCATTAAATTTTATTTAGAAAAATACAAATAATATAACAATAGTTTAGACATTAGTTTATATGAAAGAAAATTATCTGTAAAGACTTATTAAAAATTTTTTTATGAAATCTATAAAATTAACTAATTCCAAGATTGATTTTCAAATACAAAAATAAAAATTAGAAGTAATGATGTACAGTTTAATACGCTGCCTGCTAAAAGTATAAGTTATAATAAACATACTAATAAAATAAATAATTCAATATACATAAAATAATATAAAAAATTAATAAAGATAAATGAAAATTAGATAAAATAAAATATATTACATATATAAAATTATAAAATATGTCAACAGATTTAAAAAAATAAAATATTAAAGACAAAAAATATTTTACAAAACAATCAGAGATTGTTCATAAAAAATACAAGTTAAATACAATTATTATAATATGAAAAAAAAAATGTAAGAGAAGATTTCAGTGAGAAGTTAAACTAACACCAATAAATACTATTAAGTTCATCTGCACACCAAACGAGCGAAGATCGCCAAAATGGCTTCAGGGCTAGTTTAGATCAAGTAAAAACTGATTGGATTTAGACTGCCATTGACATTGACATTGACAATGGAACTGTTTGCTTTAAAGTCACTTTTTAAATTGAAGGAACATAAATATGTAACAGAAGTAAGACCTCAAAATCTTTTTACAGATGGATAATTATATTTCCCGTATTGAGGTATTTTGAAGAAATAAGAATAATTAGCTATTTTTTATCATCAGTTACGAGTATTCCTGTTTTTACATAATTTTATAAATTCCTTAACTTTTTATATAAATTATTATAATTTTTTTTTAACACGCAAGTTACCAAATTTATGTTGAATTATCTCTATGAAGAGATTTTGTATTTGATAGCAATTCTGATAAACAAACTACAATATAAGTTTGAAATGTTGACTAGTAATAATACACAACTATGGTGTGTTTAAATTTGATTAATTTTTTCTCAATCATTAACTCTGATTAATGTCCACAATTGACTATTAATATTATCAGAGCAATGACTATTAAGAAGATTTTATTATATTAATGGTCGTAATAATCATAAAAATTTTTGATTTAATGAAAACATAAGTTGTATTTTCACAAAACAATTATAAAACTTACCTTAAAATATTAAATACATATTAATTTTAACTTCCTATCAATAAAAGGTGTATGAAAAAAACTATAAAGACAAATATTTCATAAAAGATAATAAAATAAAAAAAAGATAGAGGTAGAAAATTTAAATAAAAGAAATTCTTTAAAAAAAAATTGTGTATTTATACAGGAAAATAAAATCAATAAAATAATAAACATTTAAATCATAATTCTACATTCCCAATAGTTCCATGGAAGAGATTTTGTTTCAATGAGTTTTATTAAGGTTCCTGAAAACAGTAAAAATGTTATTATCATAGTCATGATTAATTCTCCTAAAATTACTTAAACAATATAAAACTGATGGAACAGTTTGGTTGTTTATGATAATGCTTATTATCTTAAATGAATGAAAATGTAAAATAAAATGTAGTTTATAATAAACATACAAAATAAAATTATGATTAATAAATTAATGATATTTTATATGGTAATAATAAAAAATTAAATTAAAAAATCCTTTCTATCACTATTAGAATAAAAAAATGGAAGGTATAGTGCATTTCCCTTCCCTTCTACAGGGGAAGGGAGCTCACGCAGTCTTTTCCCACTCAATGGGGGATGGTCAGAAAAATGTTTTGCCACTGTGCATCTCACTCCCCTCTACCCATCGGCAAACTCATCTCAAAGTGAATCAAAATAAATAAAATTGTTCAAGGAGATTTATTGCCGTTATTTTTTCAATATATGAAGGAACATTAAGATAGGCAATGAATGATGGGAAAAATAGTCAAACATGGTATCTTTATAAAAACCTTAAGCAGTTCTTAGAGGTAAAGTGTGTTTAGAACCTACACATAGAACGGAAATTTCATTCCCACGTGCTTATTTAAAAATGAAAATCTGTTGAGCTTGTTAGTATTATTATAACAAAAATAGCATGTAAAAGATCAAGGACTGACTAAATTGATCATATGGCATTAAAAAATCTGCTATGTCCACTCACACGACTTCCTTACCTATTTCCAAAAAGTTTACATATATCTTTACATATGTTCATGAAAAAACAAAAAAAAATTTAAATAGATTTATTTTCCTGAAAATTGATCAATGAAAAGATTTGAGTACGATTTATTTGATAAACTAAAGCATTATAAACCAGCTTTAGATAGATCAGTGTAAAAAATTTAATACTCTCTAATACTGCTGATCAAAAACTTTTTGCCATAGCTTAGTATTATCAAACAATAATTTCTTTTAAAATTAGAGGAAATAGTGAAACTTGTGTGATGCGGGTAACAGATTTTCTTACTTTCACTTATTCATCTTTTTTCACTCATTCACTCCTTTCTGACACCAGGATATGAACCCATAATCTTAGATTGGAAATTGAATAGCTGTCCAAAATGAACCATTTTTATATAGTTTTGTAGGGAATTTCATTATCTTTAAAAAAACAGGCTAAAAAGCGTTGTTGTTTTTTCGGACTCAGGGGGCTCTGAAACATATAGAGCCGTTGAAAACCACATATAGGAAATTTAACTCGATTGCAATACTTTCCATACACATTATAGGTAGGAAAGTAATAAAATGAAAAATTTCTCTATTATCCTAGGACAATATATGGTACAACCACCTCTGACCTATTGATTGCAGATAGCTAAAAATAGATTAGAGTCGTGTCTCAAGAAGAAATGAACTAAATCATTCCAAATTAACCACATATTACAAACAATTCATTACAGAATGATATCTCGTTACAGGCAACTTGAGCCTAACAGATTTACTGAATACCAAATGCTTAGGTTCAATAGAATTAGGATTTTCGAAGTAATGAGAGGGATTTGGTCTAAAAAAGAAGAATAATATATGTATTGTAGATATAATATGATATAATAATATGGCTTAGCAAACTCGAAGGTTCGATACCACTACCATCAATCGATGTCCTGCATTCTTTCATCCACTAGTCACCATCTAAATCCAAACCCACCAGATCAGCCTTAATGCAATTTTCTCACCTTCTCTTTGATCTATCACTCAAATACTCACATGTCGGCAAACGTATATTCACTTTTTAGGAATTCTTTTGTTACTAAGCCCAGTAATTTCGCATGTATATTTTATTTTTCTCAATGAGGTTCGCACAATTCAGCGTTGTGTAACTGCCTAATTCTCTGGTTGACTCGTCCTTCAGTCTGAATATTCTACATAATACTTTATTTTCAAAAACCTTAAGAAATTGCTCATTCCTTAATGTAAGCGGTCATGTTTCACATGTATAAAGAACTGTAGGAAGAATAATGGTTTTGTAAATTCTAATTTTCAAGTTTGGAGACAACAGTGGTGAGCTAAATGATTTTACAACTGAAAAATAGCAAGCATTTCCTGCCTTTAACCTAGCCTTGACTTTCTCTTCAATTTTGTGTTTTCTTGTTATCATAGATCCTAAATACCTAAACTTCTCTGTGTGTTCAAATGTATTTCCTTCAATATCTATAACACTGAAATTGTCACAATTTTTACTGCTAACGATATATATATTGTGTTGTCTATATTTATTTCGAGCCCCAGTCCTTTTCCGGCTTTCAATAATGTTGTTACATTTAGTTTTATTTACTCCGTGTCTTTGATTGACAAGTCATCAACATATCCAAGCATGGATATCAGATTCAAATCTTTTTCAGTATGTATCACCTCTAAAACGGCATGTTCAAATGCCAAATTAAAACGAATATAACCTTTTATTTTGTAGATATATTATTAACCATAAATATCTCCCCTAAAATTATAAACAATATACATGATCACAAAAGAATTGTTATTAAAAGGCAAAAGTTTTGAGCAAATTTTTTTTATAGTTATAAAAATTTGTAATACAAGGTTTTTTGTGGCATTAAAAAACGAATATCAACTTTTTAAAAAAAACATAATGGAATCTGGTGGTGCTAATCTTGTATGATATGTACATTTCTACAATTCGTGGACTATTCCTGTTCGGAATGCAAGATACCTGATTCTTATGTTTAATCTTACTCTATATAATCAGCTGGTTAATAAAAAAACATATTTGGCAGGTAGCTAAAGTATGAGAATAATATTGAAACAAATTGGACCGACCAATACAGTGGTATGGGAGAAAATATTTTATTAGGAAGAAACAATATTGATATTTGTTTTTTGCACCTTAAATATAAATTGTTATA